AGGAGATTGACTCAACCTATAAAGCTTTGAGAGCTGTGATAAGATTAGAAAGAGTGATCCAGGCACTGATAAGATTAATCCCACTGAATTTAGGGAGTAGTGGCAGCCTTCTTTCCTGGGACTGGTCTTCCAGTTAGGCAAGGAGTGTTAGCCAGGGGGTGATGCTCTCACAAGCTGTCCCAAGTACTCTGTTGCACACTGTTATTCCCCAGAGTCCAAGGTGAACTCCTGGGGACACCAAGTTAATCCTTCTAAAGATGGTGACTGAGCTAGTGGTTTCCAACTCTACCTGTGCACTAAAACCACCTTAGGATGGCATACAAATCCTTATGCTTGGGCCCCACCCACAGAGATTTGAGTTGACTGACCCTAGGGTGGAGCCCCAGGCATTTTTTTAAACTCCTCAGAGGACACTAGTATACAGCCATAGTTGAAAACCACCACTAAGACTCAGAAATTCATTCATGTCTTCTTTTCTCTCCCTCAAGCTACAAGCTTACCCTAAAGGTGTGCTTTTTCAGACTCAGGTAGGCATTTCTGAGACCACTTAATTTTATTTTATTTATTTATTTTTTTTTTAAAGATTTTATTTATTTTATTTTTTGCCCCCAAAGCCCCAGTAGATAGTTGTATGTCATAGCTGCACACCCTTCTAGTTGCTGTATGTGGGACTCGGCCCCAGGATGGACAGAGAAGTGGTGCCTCAATGCGCACCTGGGATCCGAACCCGGGCCGCCAGCATCGCAGCGCGCGCACTTAACCACCAAGCCACAGGGCCGGCCCACCACTTAATTTTAAAAGTTTAGGCCCTCCACTCCTCCCATTCAACAGGCAGCCAAATCTTCTTGTGCTGTGCCAGACATGTCCCTGAGACACAATGGTGAAGGTCAGAGTAAATGGATTAGGCCGCACTGGGCACCTGGTCACCAGGGCTGATTTTAACTCTGACAAAGTGGATGTTGTCACCAGCAATGACCCCTTCACTGATCTCAACTAGTGAATCTCAACACTGATCTCATACATGTTCCAGTATGATTCCAACCATGGCAAGCTCAATGGCACAGTCAAGGTTTGTCATCAATGGAAAGCCCATCTCCATCTTCCAGGATGGAGAGCCCACCAACATCAAATGGGGTGAAGCTGGTGCCGAATATGTTGTGGAGTCCACTGGTGTCTTCACTGCCTTAGAGAAGGCTGGGGCTCACCTGAAAGGTGGAGCCAAAAGGGTCATCATCTCTGCCCCATCTGCTGATGCCCCCATGTTTGTGATGGGCATGAACCACGAGAAGTATGACAACTCCCTTGAGACTGTCAGCAATGCCTCCTGAACCACCAACCACTTGGACCCCCTGGCCGAGGTCATCCATGACAACTTTGGCATCGTGGAGGGACTCTGACCATAGTCCCTGCCATCACTGCCACCCAGAAGACTATGGGTGGTCCTTCTGGGAACCTTCTGGGAGTGATGGCCAAGGGGCTGACTGAAACATCATCCCTGCTTCTACTGGTGCTGTCAAGGCTGTAGGGAAGGTCATCCCTGAGCTGAGTGAGAAGATCACTCATGGCCTTCAGTGTCCCCCCCACCCCAGTGTGGGTCATGGATCTGACCTGCCACCTGGAGAAAACTGCCAAATATGATGAAATCAAGAAGGTGGTGGAGTAGACGTCAGAAGGCCCCCTAAGAGGTATCCTGGGCTGCACTGAGGACCAGGTTGTCTGCTGAGAGGTTAACAAGAACACCCACTCTTCCACCATTGGTGCTGGGGGGCTGGCACTGCTCTCAATAAGCACTGTGTCACCCTCATTTCCTAGTATGGCAATGAATTTGACTACAGCAAGTACTCCATGGCATCTAAGAAGTAAAAGCCCATGGACCACCAACCCCAGCAAGGGCATGAAAGGAAGAGAGAGGCCCTCAGCTGCTGGGGAGTCCCTTGCCCCAACTCAATCCTCCAACACACTAAGAATCTCCCCTCTTTCATATGTTTTCCATCCCAGATGCCCTGAAGAAGCGTAGGGGCTTTGGGAGCCCTACATTGTCATGTACCATCAATAAAGTATACTGTACCCAGTCAAAAAATTAATACCAATATAATAAAAGATAAAATTAAAAGTTAAAAATAAAACAAAATTTAAAAATTAAAGTAAATATAAAAAATAAAACCAATAAAATAAAGTATAAAATAAAATAAGAAAATATAGAATAAAATGAAATAAAATAAAAAGTTTAGTGAGACCTCTCAAAAAAGATGAGTGAGCTACCTAGAGAAGGACTTGGAATATCGAGATTATTTTTTCTTTCCTTTTTTTTTTTAAGTTTTCTAGGGCCAGCCCCAGTGGCCTAGTTGTTAAATTTGGCATACTCTGCTTTGGTGGCCCAGGTTCAGATCCCAGGTGTGGACCTACACCACTCATCTGTTAACGGCCATGCTCTGGTCGCGGCTCACATAAAAGGAAAAAAAGAGGAACATTGGCGATGTTAGCTCAGGGCGAATCTTCCTCAGCAAAAAAAAATTTCTGTAGTATTTAGGTTCTCCTGAAGCCAATGTATAGCAGTTGGTCCATTCCCAAGAAAGGGAAAAAAATTGTACCCGAAGATAGAAGTAAGCAAACTATGGGTTTAGCCCCTTTGACGACGGATGGTAGCAGCTTGAGGAAAAGCAGGTCTTTGTACCCCTGATAACTGGACTTTATTTGACACTTCCTTAGTGGGTCTTTTTTTTTGATTGAGGTGAAATACACTTAACACAAAATTAACCATTTTAAAGTCAACAATTCAGTGGCATTTAGTATACTCACACTGTTGTGCTACACCACCTCTTCTAGGTTCAAAACATTTTCATCAGCCCAAAATGAAACCCACACTCATCAAGCAGTTACTCCCCATTCCCCTCTGCCTCTAGCCTGTCCATCAACAGATGAATGGATATACAAATTACGGTCTATCCATACAATGGAGTATAATTCAGCCACAAAAAGGAAGGAAGCACTGATAGATGATACAAGGATGAACCTTGAAAACAGTGTGCCAGGGCCAGCCCCATGGCTTGGCTCTGGTGCTGGCGGCCCAGGTTCGGATCCCAGGCGCGCACTGACACACCGCTTCTCCGGCCATGCTGAGGCCGCATCCCACATACAGCAACTAGAAGGATGTGCAGCTATGACATACACCTATCTACTGGGGCTTTGGGGGAAAAATAAATAAATAAATAAAATTATAAAAAAAAAAAAACAGTGTGCCAAGTGAAAGCAGCTCAGACACAAAAGGTCACATGTTGTATGATTCCACGTATATGAAATATCCAGAAGAGGTAAATCCATAGAAACAGAAAGCAGATGAGTGGCTACTTTAAAATTGGTTTCTGACCCCATCAGATGATGAAAATGTGGCTTACAAATTGTTGCTTGGTGTGGCTGATTCACCTTTAAAGGTGTATTCTTCCCAATTTGCCTCTCAGATATATTATTTGTTATGCTAATAACAAATAATCAGCATCTCGGGAGATGATGCTGATTATCTGACGATAATGATGGCGCTATTATTTTCCCATTATGTGATTATCATTTCTCATTATGCGATTATTTTTTTATGGCTGAGATGATAGTTAAATTGGTTGAATGTTTTATCGTCCTGAACATAAAACACAAGACAAAGGTAGGCAGAAATCTAGTTAGAAGAAGTAGACTTACTAGAAGTGCTATTTCTCAAGTATCTTCAGCCCCTCTATTTTAGCACGTTTGTTTCTATCTTTGCAATTATTCTCTTAAGTCATTATTTTGTTTGCTTACTTGTGGGCTCTCTGGCTCCCCTCAACTGGATTTAGAGGCAATAGCACCTCGGTGGTTGAAGCAGAGTAACTAGAGCAAGACCATCTGGTAAGAAGACTGCCTTTGCCACTTATTAGTTATGGGACATTGACCAAGTCAATTAAATTCCCTTTTTATTCACTTTCCTCATCTGTAAAATGAGATTGAGTGGGTTAAATAAATTAGGATATGCAGGTGCTTAGAACAATATCGGGCATGTACTAACCACCACAGAACATGTAAGTGGTCTGCAAGCTGCCTGATGGCAAGAGCCTGGACTTAATTACTGACAGGTGCATTCCCAGGCCCCATCACCTAGCATCATCACCTGGGAACTTGTTAGGTGTGATAATCCTCAGGCCCCACCCCAGACCTGCTGAATCAGAAACTCTGGGGGCTGGTCCCAGCAATCTGTGTTTTACTAAGATCAGGTGATCCTGATGTCCCTTACACTTCGAGAGGCACTGATGCACAGTGGTGTTCCTCAATCTTTATAGTGCACTGGAATCACCCGGGGCTCTTGTTAAAATGCAGATTCTACTCAGCAGCTCTGGGGTGGGCTGAGAATCTGCATTTTCTTTCAGCATTATTGAAATATGGTTGACATAACATTGTGTGAGATTAAGGTGTACATTACATTGACTCGATACATTTATATATTGCAAAATGATTGCCATGATAGCATATGGGTTGATTTGATATATTCATATGTTGCAAAATGATTGCCACCATAGCATTAGCTAACACTTTCATCCCATCACATAATTAGCATTTCTTTTTTGTGATGAGAACACTTCAAATCTACTCTCTTAGCAACATTCAAGTATATAATACAGTCCTATTAGCTCTAATCACCATGCTTTACATTAGACTCCCCAGAACTTCTTAATCTTATCACTGCAAGTGTATACCCTTTAACTAATATACGGAGATTCTGCATTTTAACAAGCTCCCAGGTGATGCTCATGGGGCGGATTTGTGGACTCCGCTTTCAATAGCAGAGTCTATACTCAATAAATATCTCAATAAATAAATTAATATAAATATAAATAAATGATAGAAATGGGAGGGATCTGGGGGCTTTGGATGACCCAGGGATCGGATTAGTGGATGAGGAAGAAAAAGGTGGAGGGGGTGGGGCAGGGGTGTGGCAGTGGAGGGGCGTATTTAAGTCTGGATTCCACCTTTGTCAGTTCTTGCCACTGGACCAGAGCATAGGAACACATCTAGGTTACAGGATGTCAGACCCGGGGGACCTTCCTAAAGGTAAGCAGAGGGTGAGAACTGAAGGGAATATAATGTGAAGAAGTTGAGAGCAGTTGACAACAGTGGTGGAAACTTTGCTTAGAAGCTGTCACCTGAGGGCAAACCCCATCAGAGGGAAACCCAATTCTGTCTTTGAATTCCAAAATGTTCCCCTTTTAACTGTGTCATAATTCCTCTGATCCTTGAGAAATGGGGATTCCGATCCCTATTAAGATGATTAAATCATAGAATTTAAGCTTAACCAAGAAATCTGATTAAGATTTCTGGAAATCTGGAAATCTCGTCACTTTATTTATCCAGCATTTACTGGATTCCCGGGCTTGTGCTAAACCACTTTCAGACGTGATCTGATTCAACCCTTAAAATCTTTTAAAGAGGTTACGATGAGAAGTCTCAATTTTACAGATAACGTTGTCGAGGCTTAGCGAGATGAAACGCTTGGTCCAAATTCACTCAGCAGCTAAGCAGGCATACCAGGACTCTCTGTCATTAATATTGGAGCCCAGTTCATTAAACTCCTACATTGTTAAGTATGTGTTGGTCACTGGTTCTCCAGAGATGGAGCATAGCACAGCCTCAAACACTTCACTTAATCTCCCTGTGCCTCAGTTTCCCCATTTGTACCGACCACATGGGGAATAATGAGAATTGAGTCAGCTAACATTTGTGTTATCTGTTCCCTAACACCTCTATCACATCATATAGTTACCATTTCTTTTTTGTGGTGATAACATTTAAGATCTAGTCACTTTGCAATTTTGAAGTTTATAATACAGTGTTGTTGCCTACAATCACCATGCTGGACATTAGATCTTCAGGACTTATTTATCTACTAGTTGCAAGTTTATACCCTTAAACAACGTCTCCCCAATCCCCCCACCCCCAGTGCCTGGTTACCACCTGTTTCTACACTCTGTTTCTATGAATTCAGCTTTTTTAGATTCCACATATAAGTGAGATCATACAGAATTTGTCTTTCTGTGTCTGGCTTATCTCATTTAGCATAATGCCCTCTAGGTCCATCCATGTTGTGGCAAGTGGCAGGATTTCCTTTTTTCTCCTGCCTGAGTAATATCCTACTAGCCATTCTAATGAGTGAGTTATCGGTGTAATTTGAATTTCTCTGAAGACCAGGATGTTGAGAATCTTTTTGTGAGCGCATTGGTCTTTCTTGTACCTTTTTGTGAAGTATTTGTTTAGATTTATTGACCTTTTTTTTTTTTATCGGCTTGTCTTTTTGAGTTGTAAGGATTGTTTGTATATTCTGGATACAAATTTATCTTATATGTGTGTTATGAATATTTTCTCCCAGGATGTGACTTGCCTCCTTATTTTCTTTTTTTTTTTTTTAAAGATTTTATTTATTTATTTTTCCCCCAAAGCCCCAGTAGATAGTTGTATGTCATAGCTGCACATCCTTCCAGTTGCTGTACGTGGGACGCGGCCTCAGCATGGCCGGAGAAGCGGTGCGTCTGTGCGCACTGGGGATCCGAACCCCGGCCGCCAGCAGCGGAGCGCGAGCACCCAACCGCCAAGCTACAGGGCCGGCCCACCTTATTTTCTTTCTTGTGTGTGTGAGGAAGATCAGCCCTGAGCTAACATCCATGCCAATCCTCCTCTTTTTGCTGAAGAAGACTGGCCCTGAGATAACATCCATGCCCATCTTCCTCTGCTTTATATGGGATGCTGCCACAGCATGGCCTGACAAGCGATGCGTCCGTGCACGCCTGGGATCTGAACCCGCCTCCTTGTTTTCTTAATGCCATCTTTCAAAGAGCAAAAGTTTTAATTTTGAAACCGCTGATTCATCAATTTTTACTTTTATACTTTGTGCTTTTTGAATCTTTGCCTAATCCAAGGTCTCAAAGATGTTCTCTTATGTTTTCTTCTAGAATTTTCACAGAGTTAGGCTATATATTTATGTCTGTAATCTATTTCTAGTTCATTTTTGCATGTGGTTTAAGATAAGAGTTGAGGTCTATTTTTTTTCCATATGGATCTCCAGCTGACCCTACACCATTTGATTTCTTCTTTGTCCCATGGTTTATTTAGAAATGTGTTGTTTAATTTCCAGGTATTGGGAGTGAGATGTTTCAGATTTTTGTGTGTGTGTTTCTATTTTAACTCCATTGTGTTCCGAGAACATATTTTGTATGATTTAAATCATTTTAAATTTTTTGAGACTTCGTTTATAGCCCAGCATGTGTTCTATCCTGATGAATGTTCCATATGCACTGGAACTGTCACTGTTGGTGGCAGTTTCTGCCATTTCTGTCACTGTTGGGTGATGCATCCTATAAATATAGCCAAGTTGGCTCATTAGATTTTCATAAAGATTCCATAAGATTTCCCTTATCTCAGGAATCACAGTCCTGCACTACCTGATGTCCCGTTATTTGAAAACAGTTTCATATATTTTGACCAATTTTCTTGGTGTTTACTATAGTGAGACAAATCCAGTATGGCTGACTCTAATATGGCCAGAAGCTGAACTCTACTATGCATTTTTAACAGCTTTATTGAGATACAGTTGACATATAATAAACTGCACACATTTAAAGTGTACAATCTGAAAATTTTTGATGTATATGTATATACTCGTGAAACCATCTCCATAATCAAGACAATGCATATATCCATCCTCCCACTAGGTTTCTTCATATCCCTTTGTTCTACTAAGCTCTGTAAAATCATAAATAGGTGTTGAATTTTAACAGAACTATTTTGTATTGATCATGATAATTATATTATTTTTATGCTTTAATTTATTAATGTGGTGAATTACATGGGTAGATGTCTTTCCGCTATTAAAGCATCCTTTTCCTTCCTGAGATAAAACTTATTTGCACCTGGTGCATTTATTTTTTAAAAAAAAGAAAAAACACTGTTGGATTCAGTTAATATATTTTTAAAGACTTTTGAAACTATTTTCATAAGTGAAATTGGCCTATATTTATCTTTCATTATTGCCTTTACCTGGTTATGGGATCAAGGTGACATTAGCCTCAGAATATCGGATGGATGACTTTCAAAGGTATATGAGGAAATCCGGGGGGAAGATGGATATATGTATTATCTTAATCGTGGAGATGGTTTCTTGAGTATATACATATATATAAAAATTTATCAGATTTCCCATTTTAAATATGCAGTTTGTCTCAATAAAACTATTTAAAAACACATAGTGAAACTCAGTTCAGGGTCTCTCATGACGTTGCAGTTCAGCTTTCAACAAGAAATGCAGCCATCTAAGGCTTGACTGAGGCTGGAGGATCCACTTCCAAAATGTCTCATTCACAAGTTTGTTGGCCAGAGGCCTTGGTCCCTCACTGACTTTTTTTGTGTGTGTGTGAGGAAGATCGGCCCTGAGCTAACATCTGCCAATCCTCCTCTTTTTGCTGAGGAAGACTGGCCCTGGGCTAACATCCATGCCCATCTTCCTCCACTTTATATGGGATGCCGCCACAGCATGGCTTGCCAAGCGGTGCGTCGCTGCATGCCCGGGATCCGAACCAGCGAACCCCGGGCCGCTGCAGCAGAGCGCGCGCAACCAACTGCTTGCACCACCAGGCTGGCACCCCCCTCTCTGACTTTTGTCTGGAGACCTCAGATCCTTGCCAAGAGGGTCTTGCCATAGGGATGTTCAACATGGCTTCCCCTAGAGTAAGCGATCCAAGACAGAAGTGATCTAAACTCAGAAGTGACATCCCATCATTTTCCTATACTCTATTGGCCACACTGACCAACCTGGGTACCGTGTTGAATGGAACTACACAAAGGTGTTAGCACCAGGAGGTGAGGATCATGGGATGCCATCTTGAAAGCACCATATGCCTTGGAGAATGACATAGTCAGATATACTCTGTGTGTGTGTGTGTGTGTGTGTGTGTGTGTTTGTGAGAGAGAGAGAGAGAGATTCAGTGTAATTCCTTGAAGACTCGCACTGTATCATGTCCTATGTTTCACAGACATGACCTAACTGAATCCTCAGTAACCCAGTGACACAGAGTCTTGAATCATCACCAACTACACATGAGACTTGTGAACTCTAAAGAAGCAAATGCATGTATAAAAGATCAATTGCCAACCTGGGACTCAAAGTCCGTACTTGGAGCCTCCCTATCTTCTATCACATTGTCTATCACTCACCTCAAATCTATTGTCTCACAGAAATATTACTCCAGAGTCTGGAGACCCAGTGACCAAAAAGTTTCTAATAACTTTTTGAGCGGGGGACGGCGGGTTTGGGGGGTGGGGACACGACCCAGAAGTGCTTGATGCTACAGGAACCAGCTGACCCCTGTAAATACAGTCCACTCTGCCTCCTCCCTGACAGGACCCTGCATGACCCGCCCCCACCAACAGTGACTAATTTCTTCATACCTCTCCCGCTCACTTTCTTTACTCCGGCCATACTCATCTCTTTATTGTTCTTCAGGGATTTTGTATTTGTTCCCTCTGTCTGAAATTCCCTCGCTGTAAATGCACACATGGCTCACTCCCTCACCTCCTCCAGACACACCTTTGCTCATAGGTCATTAAAACTAAAACCCTCTGCTCAAATTCCCTATCTCCCTTCCCTAATTTTTTTCTCTACAGAGTACGTAGCACTACATAAGGTAGTGTGTATTTTAACACTTTTACTTTGTGTATATGTTTCTCCACTAAAATGTTTGTGAGCGTGAAACATGTAAAAACATGAGAGCGTGTTTTTATTATTATTATCATTATTAATAGACTACTTTTAGAGTGGTTTTAGTTTCACAGCAAATTGAGAAGAAAGTACAGAGATTTCCCTTATAACCCCCTGCCCCACACACATGCACAGCCTCCCCCATTATCCACATCCCCCATCAGAGCAGTACATTTGTTACCATTGATGAGCCTACAATGACAGTCATTATCACCCACAGCCCATAGTTTAGGTTAGGGTTCATTCTGGTGTTGTACATTCTATGGGTTTGGGGGTTTGGGGGAGCAGCCATTTTATTTTGCTGTTTATTTCATTGCTGTATCCTTAAAAGAATACCAGTGCTCAATAAAAGTTGAATGAATGATGACGATGAAATTATGTCCATCTCATATTGAATTGAGTTGCCTATTTTCCACATGAAGAAAATAGAATCCAGGGGCCAGCCCGGTCGCGCAGCAGTTAAGTGCACGTGCTCTGCTGCAGCGGCCCGGGGTTCACAGGTTCGGATCCCAGGCGCACACCGAGGCACTACTTGTCAAGCCATGCTGTGATGGCATCCCATATAAAGTAGAGGAAGATGGGCATGGATATTAGCTCAGGGCCAATCTTCCTCAGCAAAAAAAAAAAAAAAAAGGAGGATTGGCATCAGATGTTAGGGCTGATCTTCCTCACAAAAAAAAAAAGAAAGAAAGAAAATAGAATCCAAGAGTTGACACACAAAGGATCCGTGTTTAAATAACAAAGGACCAAAGAACCAAGGGGACATAAACAACCCTTTCCTTTGGTGGGTATATGGAATAGCAACCATGACAAAATGAGGCTTAGGAAAACTAGCAGAAAAGTCACACACACCATGTGTAAATATCTGGGAATCCCAGTCACTTGATGGCCAAGCCTGACCTCCGTAGGGAGGGAGGGGAAGCTCAGGGTTTTGAAAATGGAATTGTCTTAGCATCTCATTTGTGCCTTTCTCTCCTTCCCAGGAAAGCACCAGAAGTACCCACAAAGGAAACGAACCACCTTCACTGAGAAACAATTGGCAGATTTGCAGCTCCTGTTCAGTAAGAACCCATACCCCAACTCCAGCCTGCAGAAAGAAATGGCCTCGAAAATGGAGATACATCCAACGGTAGTGCAGGTTGGCAAACAATGCCCCATCTCACCAAGCCACCCCCCTGGAATACCCTAAACTCAGAGACCCTCCAAGATAATTCTTGAAGCTTGATACCACTCCAATCCCCAAGACTCCAAGACCCAAACTCCTACCCATACCCTGTAACCCTCTCTCCCAACCCCTAGAGCAAGGATCAGCATGCTTTTTCTGTAAAGGACCAGATAGTAAATATTTTAGGCATTGTGGGCCATGCTGTCTCTGCCACAACTATTCAACTCTGCTGTGATAGCGTGGAAGCAGCCACAGACAATAGGTCAACAAATGGCTGTGCTGGCATTCCCATCAGACTTTGTGGACACACATTTGAAGTTCATATAATTTTCACGTGTCACAAAATATTCTTCTTATTGTGTTGGGTTTTTTTTCCCCAACCATTTCAAAATGTAAAACCTATTCTTAGCTCTTGGGCCATACAAAAAGAGGTGGTGGGTCAGATTTGGCCCAGGAGCCTTAGTGTGCTGACATTAGCCCTAGAGCACCCCCTGAGGGTGACCTCTTGGCTCTCCTATCTCCCTTTTGCTGTGGGGGTTCTGATCCCTGCCTCCTTTCTTTCTGCCCCCACAACCTCTCATTTCTGCTCCTTCCCGGACGTAGGTTGGGAGAGGTTCCACAAATAGGAGATAGCGGAGGTGGGTACAATGAAAACTCTTCTGGAATCTCACCAGATTCATCAGCCCATTGCTCCTCCGTCTTTTCTCCTCAGGTTTGGTTTAAGAACCACAGAGCAAAACTCAAGAAAGCCAAATACAAGCATATTCAGCAAAAACAACAAGAAGCCCAACAAGAACAATTAGCGGAGGCAGGGGTCAAGACCAACGCTTCCAAGACAAATACGGATACACCTCCCGGATCCCCTAACGGTGCCTACCCTGAGTCCCTAGTTTATACAGATCATCCAATGCCTTCCTTCCAGCTCAGCATATGCCCCAATTTTAAGGCTTCCACAGACCACTTTGTCGGCCACAAAATGGTTCATTTTGGCTGCTGCCAAGACCCTAACGTATACTGTCTCTATCCCGTTTTGGAATCCCAAGTCCTTTCCACAAGCATCAACGCTAATTCTGTCTGCTCCTCATCTCCACAAAGAATGTGCGAGTGAGGGAGGCTAAACACAAAAGGTCACATGTTGTCATGTTTTGTAATGATTCCTGAACAGAGAACACTTTTTAGCCATAAAAAGGAACAAACACAAGATATGCACAACATGGATGCATTTCAACATTATGTCGAGTGAAAGAAAAAAGACACAAAAGACTACTTACTGTATAATTCCATTTACATGAATTCCTAGAGCAGGAAATACTGTAGTGGCAACAAGCAGATTAGTGGCTGCCCATGTGGCAGAAGGTATTGAGCGGACAGAGGCACTAAAATTTATTGGGATGATGGAAAGTTTTCACGTCCTATCAGGATTGCAGTTACCTGGGCGTACAAATTCATCAAAACACAGAGAACTGTGATACTGTATCGTACACTTGGAAGGGGCCAAGAGACCAGATCTTAAATGTTCTCACCACAAAAAAGAGACAATAATTATGTAATAGGACAGAGGTGTTATCTACTGCTATGATGGCAATCATTTTGCAACATATATAAATGTATCAAATCAACGGGTTGTATGCCTTAAACTTACACAATGTTATATGTCAATTATATCTCAAAGTTAGAGAAAAAATTTTTTTTTCTTTTTTTTTTTTGTGAGGAGATCAGCCCTGTGCTAACATCTGCCAATCCTCCTCTTTTTTTGCTGAAGAAGACTGGCCCTGGGCTAACATCCGTGCCCATCTTCCTCCACTTTATATGGGACGCCGCCACAGCATGGCTTGCCAAGCAGTGCGTCGGCGCACCTGGGATCCAAACCAGCGAACCCCGTGCCGCCACAGCCAAGCACGTGCACTTAACCGCTTGCACCACCGGGCCGGCCCAAGAGAAAAAATTTTTTAAAAAAATAAAATCTGCATTTTAGTTCACATAAATTATACCTCAATAAAAATAATTATTTATATATATATAATGGGGCTAGTAGAGACAGTATCATTTTTTCTTTTTCCTGCTTCTTTGTTTTGATTTTATATTTTTTTCTTCAGTACTGTTCAGCTAAGAAGGTTTAGTCAGTGTCAGTAAGTGGAGAGTTGGCTAATTTTTCTACTTTCTATTTTTCAGTCACCTCCCCAGCCATACTTTATATCCTGATGACAACCCAAATATCTCCAGCCCCCAAATTTTTCTTTCAGTTTTTTTGCCTTCCTCTCTACTCTTCTTAAGACAATGGAAACACCACAGACTCTTCCAAGGAAGTTCTCAAGCCTCCTGATTCCTTCCTACTAACCCCTCTCTCCCTGCGCATGTGGCATCTATGAATAAAGTGACATGTGATCAATTAACCATGTGCTTTGTAGTGTGGATGTAATTTTGAGCCTGAAGAATTACGGATTCATTACAGCATGTTAGACCTGGGCATGGCCTCTCATGCAGGTAGATGCCCATAGCCCTGCCCACCTGTCTCACAAAGGCATCCTAGACTGATGTGGCTGCAGGGCTGAGATTTGGGCGTCTCTAATCCACCCAGGAGCTTCAGAGCAGAGGGTGGGATACATGGTGGACCAGAGCCAACCCCTCTCCCCTTTCCAACCCTCCTCTCAATGTCTACTCCCCACTAAGTCCCTTCTTAGGCAGCTGTCATGCTATTGTGGTAGATGTGACCTAAGAGAATTTCAGTTTCTTTCCCCCACCTTCTCTTCCCTACCAGAGACAACCATTTCAACATGTTTCATGTCTCTCATTCTATTGTGTATGTTCTTATACAAATGTGCTCTCTTAAGCCACCTACAACCCCCTAGAAGGAACCATTATTTTGACTTTTGCCTATTCATAAATTTCACATAAATTGAATCATTCCATATGGACTCTTCTGTGTGGCTTCTTTCACTCACCATGTTCTAGATGAAATTCATGGGCCAGCCCCATGGCTTAGCGGTTAAGCGCGCGTGCTCTGCTGCTGGCGGCCCGGGTTCGGATCCCGGGGGCGCACCGACGCACTGCTTCTCCAGCCATGCTGGGGCCGCGTCCCACATACAGCAACTAGAAGGCTGTGCAGCTATGACATACAACTATCTACTGGGGTTTTGGGGGGAAAAAAGATAAATAAAATCTTGAAATTCATGCATTTTGTTGAGAGGACACTGTGAACAACAATAACAAAAAGTCCTTGGTAGAACCCAGTAGTTCTCTACCAGAGGTGATTTGCCTACCAGGTGACATTTGGCAGTGTCTGGAGATATTTTTGGTTGTCACAGCTGGGTGGTGGGGAGGGTGCTGCTGGCATCTAGTGGGTGCAGGCCAGGCATGCTGCTCAACATCCCACAATGCACAGGTCAGCCCCCACAACTAAGGATGGCCCAGCCCCAAATGACATTAGTGCCAGGTGGAGAGACCCTGGGACAGCCTGAGAGCCTGAATATACAAATAGTGTCTAGACCATATCTAAAAAGAGAACTCAGACCCACAACCTGTATACAACCAGTCCAAGGAACCAAACCACAACGTCTGTAGCAAGTGGCCCAAAGCAGCCAGGACTTGATCAATAACTGACAGCTTCCCTTCCAGCCTCACTTTCAACTTAGGACCAACCAGACAAAAGCCAAATATGTTCCCATAACCAGTCACATAGGATACCCCACTTCTAATTAGCCTGCCTCCAGCTTCCCCATGCCAACCAGCCTCCACTCAGAGCACACCTGGACATTTCTCTTTTTTCCACTATAAAGCTTTCGTACTCCTTTGCTTGCCTTTTGGTCTCTACCAAACACATTGATGGTGGCTGACCCCTTTGCTCTAGCAAGCTCTGAATCAATAGTTGCTTCCACTTGCATTGATTTCTACAAACCTTCTCCCTAGGCCATATTTCAATTTCTCTGGTCGTTCTCAAAATACTTTCTCAATATCCGTTGTTTGAATCAGCATCTCAACAATATCCACACATCAACGACCTCAAATGGATGTTACCTAATTCAGCCACTGCTTCCACAATTGTCAGATAGATACTTCCGCTTGTGAGAACATTTCCTCATCAATTACCACAAATAAAATAATTATAGTTGATGAAGTAGAATCCATACAGCAAATGTAGGTTAAACACTGAATTCTGTCTTGATCAGAGTGAAGAACTTTGTGTGCTTGTTTATTCCAATAATGAAAATCGAGTTCATTTATTCTTTTTCTAGTATTTTTTTTTCTCAGTTTCACTTGGAATCCATGGGATTTTATATACTTTTTGGGTGCAGAGTATTCAGAGTGCAAGCCTCATGTGAGCGGGGATTTTGTTGTTTTTCCCACTCCATTCCAGTTCCTAGAACAATGGTAGGCACAGACTATGTTTTTAAGATGTTTTTGAAAGAAAGAAAAAAAGCGAGGAGGGCCGGCCCGTGGCTTAGCGGTTAAGTGCGCGCACTCCGCTGCTGGCGGCCCGGGTTCAGATCCCGGGCGCACACCAATGCACCGCTTCTCCGGCCATACTGAGGCCGCGTCCCACACACAGCAACTAGAAGGATGTGCAGCTATGACATACAACTATCCACTGGGGCTTTGGGGGAAAAATAAATAAATAAAATTATAAAGTACACTATAAAAAAAAAGAAAAAGAAAAAACGCGAGAGGGAGATTGGTTGACTCAATGAATGAATGGCTTCCTAGTGCCTCAGTAAGAGCTCTGATTTACATCAAATCCAGACTCCTCCCCTCTCGCCTACTGGCCCTGTATTGCTCAAACCTGCTGATAAGATGATAAGAAACACCTGGGGAGCTTTAAAAACCCAGATTCCAGGAATGGAGGGAGTGTGTGGTCTCCAGAAGCAGGCACTACTTTACCCAGGATCGTATTCACACAAGGGTCAAAGTGCAGGAGGCACAGCCAAAGCCTGAAGCATTCAGAGAGATACATTTCTTGGAGAAGATGAAAAGGAGAAGTTCCCCGAGGATGTCCCCAGGGTGAGCAGGACGAGGAGGGTTAAGGATGCAGAGGAGGCTAAGGGCTGGAGCTGGGCAGGGTGGGTGGGAGGCTATGAACCTCAGGCTGGGGGGCTCAGGGCTAGGCACCACACACAGCCCAGAAGGATAGGAACACTTGGAGCCCCCAAAGCTGGGCTTGAATCCTTCCTCCTCCTCTTGCAAACTGTGGTTAAGCCCCTTGGTCTTGATTTCTTTACGTGATGAGTGGAGGAAATTGTCTGCATTGTGGGAACTTTCTTCCTCTACTGTACACGTTCTTATAAAATATGTCCTCTCTATACGCTATTTCACCTCGGCACCATTGTTTCGTTTTGCCTGATGTTGAACTTCAGAGAAACTGAATCATAACATAACTCCTTTGTGTGTGGCTTCTTTCACTCACCATTTCACTGATGAGATTCTTTCATGTTAAAGTGAGCACGGTATTTAAATTTTTTTAAAAAGAGCCCTTGGTATAACCTAATACCAGGTGATATTCAAATTTCCCTGATGGTCCCCAAAACACCTCCTTGAAGTTGGTTGTTTAAATCAACATCCAAGGATTATCATCATATTAAGGCTTACAAATGCATGTTAATAAATTCAATCATTCCTTCCACAACTATTAGATATCTTCTGCTTGGGAGAACTTTTCCTCATCAATTTTCACTAACAGAATAGTAATAGTAATAATTGATGAGGCAATAGAATTCATACAGGAAATATAAGATAAAAACTTAATTGTTTTCATGTCCTTGTTTGTTCCAATGGTGACCGATGAGTTCATTTATCTTTATGTATTATTTGGAATACATGGACTTTTATTTTTCAAAGAGTATAGACTATCGACTGGGAACTCATGCTGGTGTGTAAACTTCATATGAGCAAGGATTTCACCTCGTTCTCCATCTATCCCATGTTCCCAGAATGTCACAAAGGAGGTTTTCAAAAAATATTCTAGAAACAAATGTAGACCTAGGAAAGAATCACTGCAATTTAAATAGCAGATACTTATTTGGGCAATTAGAACTGCAACTTGGGAGACACACATTCAGGCAGAAACCCAGAATATGCTCCAGAGAAGACAAGGCAAGGTCTATAAAGAAAAAAAGGGATAAATCACACAGGTTGTTTTGCAAGACTTGTGATTAGTTCTGGCAACAACTGTTACTTCTTGGCTACACGTGATTAGTTGCTAAGGCCATCTCTAAGGCAAAAAGTTCTTATGGGAGTAAGCATTTTTCTTAAAGGAAGGTCAAGATAACAAAAGCTACATTCCATCTGGGTAGAGACATGGTATAC